TTAGAAACTGACTCAATTCTCCTAAGAAGCTGATATGGTGGTTCTATGAGCGTCCCGGTTCTGAATGAATAAACAGACGGTCAGTTGGGCTGGAACAGGCGGCTGGCCCCCAGGAGTGTCCGCCTGGAGCCCGCCAGTGGGACCTGACCTGGAAGAAGGGTCTTCGCGGGTGTAACTAGTGTGACCGCGAGCGGCGCGCATGCTGCACAGCCTGGGGGGCGTGTCCGAGGACAAGTGTCAGGAGAGGGAGGGAGACACGCAGAGAGGCATGTAGACTAGGCAGAGGCTGGAGCGACGGCCGCAGCCAAGGGGGCCGGGGCCACGGCCGCGGGCACCAGGGCCACAGCCAAGGGGTGCCAGGGCCACCAGAAGCTGGCAGAGGAGGAAGGGTCCTCCCCTGGAGCCACCAGAGGGAGGGGGCCCAGCTCACACCAGCCACCATCTTTGTGGTCCTTTGTTAGGGCGACCCCAGAGAAACTAACACAGGGTCCCCCCGCCCCCCGCCTCGGCCCACAGCGCAGGCTCACCCACTCTCATGGCCGAGTTGGTGAACCGGGGGCTGTGCAGCACCTCCTCCTCATCCAGCTGGCCCAGCACCTTGGCCTGGCGCAGGTAGGGGGTGAGGCGGCTGGGGCAGATGCTGCGGACGATCCTGTGGCGGTGGCTCTCTGTCATCTCCCACAGCGTCTCCTCGTCCAGGGCTGCCAGCGAGGAGTGCGTGCGGTGCAGCTCCGCCATGGATGGACCTGGACGGAAAGGGCGGCGGCAGAGGGTTGTCAGTGCAGGGCTGCCGGCCATCCTCCCCACGGACAGGCAGGGAAGGAGAGGATCCCCAGAGAGGACGACGACACCAGCCCGGCCCTGGTGTCCCGTGACCGGCGGGATGGACACCCACGGCACCTGGGGCAGAGGGAGACCTGGCTTCTCTGGCTCTCGGGATGCGGATCTGCCTCTGACACACAGGCTGCTGCCTGGCCGACCGGCACTGCCTTAGGAGGTGGATCTAGACCACAATCCTCCACAGGGGGGTGCAGGAGGGAGCAAACCCCTGGACACTCCTGTGTCCGCAGCACGGATGTGCACAGGCAGACAGCAGTGCGTCTCTGGCGGTACCGTCTCCAGGAAGCACCGCCCCGGGGGAACGTGAGGCTGGACGAGCTGGCACCCAGAGGCAGTGCCCAGGGCCCACGTCCATCAGTGGGAAGCAGGCCGGGGGCTGGGCCTCACACAGGGTGGACCCTGTCGCTTTCAGCAGCCCCAGGACCCTGGCACTGAGACACCTGGGCGCAGCGCTATAAATGCCATCAAACTAGGATGGCTCTTGGGGGTGAGCAGTCAAGGCCACACCCCTCGGCTAGCGTGTGGGGGGGTGAGATGGCCAGGCGTCTGAGGGCTGAGCTGCGGGGCCTGGCAGATCCTGGCTGGGTCCCAGGTCCAGTCTGTGCGGATCTAGTGCCTGCAGCTGTCACAGCCCCGTCAGCCCTCTGAGCAGAGGGCGTGCTGATGGCGGGACCCAAGCCCTTGTGCTGGGAGGACCTCAGCGGGCTCCTCCCACGCCCACCGAGCACACCTGCCCCGCTCTGTCACCACAGTGGCCACACTGCGCTCCCGAGCACAAGGCCTCTAGCCTCTAAACCCAGGTAACTCATTCTGAAATGCTGTGAGCTGTGGACAAGCACAGAAAACACCTGCCAACGGCAGCGCCCGCGCCCCCTTCCTGGACTTCCGATTCCTGCGCTAGTCCCTCTGCCCTCTCCCCTCCTGCCCGGACAACGAGGTGACAAAACACACAGCACTTGGCGTGACTATGAAACAGCCACCTCGCACCCAGCGTCTCCTGTGAACTGTCACTGTAGACAACAGCATCCGCTGGCAGGAGCCGCCCTCAGCAGGGGTTAGGGTTTAGCATCTGGGTACGTGTGGCTACATACACCTTCTTGACTGCAGGCTGATTCAGTGATAGGAAGAAAGCACGGAGATGCACTGATGGTCCTATGGCTGCGCATTACATTGTTTCTTTTCTCATCACACTTGTGCATGAAGTCCTCGTGCACAGGTGGGCATAGGTGGGCACAGGGGGGACTCAAGTGGGCACAGGGGACACAGGTGGGCACACAGGTAGGGACACAGGGGGAGCACAGGGGTACAGGGGGTCACAGGTGAGCACAGGGGGACACAGGTGGGCACAGGGGGACACAGGTGGGCACAGGGAGGACAGGTGGGCACAGGGGGACACAGGAGCACAGGGGACACAGGAGGGTACAGGGGGGACACAGGTGGGCACAGGGGGCACATGGGTGGGAGTGTTTGCCCTGGACCCGAGAACCCTGGCATCTGGTCCTGTTCACGGGATGACAAGCTTCCTGCTGGAGCTGAATGCCTCCTGAGAGGTGTGTGCAGTGAATGCTCCAACAGCAGAGCACGTCAGCGTGTAAACCAAGCAAGATGGGAATGGCCGCTGCAGAGCCCTCCTCCCACGGGGCCCAGCCCGCAGCGCACACTCACCGAGAGGTGCACACCCAGCCGCGCAGGAGCTGCTGGCGTGCGGTGGGCCTGTGTCCCCTCCCGGCTGCAGGCTCAGGCTCCTCTGCGGATTCCGGGCCGCAGGCAGGGCTGGGCAGGAAGAGCCTGCCAAACCAGTGCCCAGGGCATCTGACGAGACTTCATGCCATGTGACTTGCTCCAAAACTCAAAGTTCAGGTCCCAGAGACTAGTGCGAGGGGAAAGGCAAACTTTGACCCAGGAAACAAAGGCACAGACCTTCCACCGGCTCTGCCCGGTACACAGAGCGCCCGCCGCACTGGGAAGCCGGGGTCGGGAAGAGAACGGGGCCCTGTACCCTCCGATGCCAGGAGGGTGGGCAGGTGCCAGGTGGCTAGTGTGCGGGGGCCTTACCTCTGGCCAGACCCCACGGACCCCTCCCCTCAGGGTCGTTGCTGGAGGGAGGGCCTATGGGACAGGGGACGAGGGGGGTGAGGATGGGGGGAGGGGGCAGGCCCTCGAGTAGGTCTGTCCTGCTGCCCCTGGGCAGCGCATTCCATTTCTGCAGGGGACAGTCCATGGATGCTCATGAACCAGGGTGTTGTGGGTTCGGTGGTGTCCCCCCAGAAGATAGGTTGAAGTCCTAACCCCTCAACACTTGTGAGTGTGGCCTTTTGGAAATAGGTCGCGACAGCTGAGGTCATTGGGTCGAGCCTTAAGCCCTACATGACAGGTGTCCTCATGGGACGAGGACCCAGACACACCAGGGAGGGGCCAGGTGACAGCCCAGGCCGAGGGCTGCGGGCAGCACCAGGAGCTCAGAGCAGGCAGGCCCTCGGAGGGAGCCGGCCCTGCAGACCCTCACTTTGGCTCCTGGCCTCTGAGGAGAGGGCTGGGGTGGCTGAAGGACATGTGGTTTCTTTTTAGGATGAAATGTCCTAAGGTCGAGGTGCTCGCCGCATGTGGCTGGATTGTCAGCAGGCGCGGCGCTCCTGACATGGCGAGCTGTGCGGCGGATAGATCGGACCCCACTCAGGCTGTTTTTTAAACACAGAAAGGCCCCAGAGCTGCCAGCGACCGTTCCCACTGCCGTGGCCCCCCGGACAGGATGCAGGCTAGGGTGGTGGTGAGACGCTCCGGGGCCTGGCCTGGCCCTGCCTCCCTTAGGCCAGCCGCCCTGACCTGTAGGTACCAGCCTCCCCTTTCTTCTTCCTCTCGGCCCAGGCGGGGCCTGCAGGCACCCTGACTGTCCTAACCCCCAACACCTGTGGGTGTGACCTTTTAGGAAATAGGTAGCGGCAGACATAACCAGGTTAAGATGAGGTCATGAGGTCGAGCCTGAAGCCCTCTGTGACGGGTGTTCTCATGGGAAGAGGAGACCCAGACACACAGGAGGGCCACCAGGCTCGGTCCTCTGTCCGGGGGTGCTCTGCCCAGGAAGCTGAGTGCCCCCTGCCGCTGCCCCTTCCCTCTGCTACTTCCTGCTCATTCCTGCATCTCTGCTCCCTGGGACCCCGGGATGCCTCTCGCGCAGCACAGGCATCAGGGCCCAGCCGGTGTCTGCGGACCACTGGTCCATGAGGTTCACAAGGTTGGCGACTGCTGTTCCAGATGACAGCCAGATGGCGCACGTGTGAGTGCAGCCGCCTCCCACCGTGTCTGACTCAAAGATCACCAACATGTGAAACCAGCTGAGCGGGGAAGGACTGAAGGAGCAGACCCGGTCTCTCCCCTTGTGCCTCACAAAATGAGCCACAAATGAGGCGGCTGGTCCTCCTCGCCTGACACCGAAACCCAGAAAACTCCCTCCTTCCTCTCTCTTTCCTCCTGGGCACCAATGCGGACATCAGAGTCCAAAACAGCATCCTCATCCCTCCCGACCCACACTGCCCTCCTTGAAGGTGGAGCTGAGCCAGAGAGCGCCCGTGCCCTTAACCAAGCCCAAGGGCCCCACACAGGCTCCACCCCCCTCGAGAGGGAGACCCCCCCAGGACAGCTCTCAGACCCCCTTCGGGCCTGCCCGCCCGCCCCAGTGCTGACCTGCTCTCCGCGGGACCGGCTCCATGCTGCGCTTCCTGGTCCTGCAGAAGGTACGCTGGCGCGGTCTGAGCTGAACAGCAGGCGAGCAGGTCTGACAGGCAAGCCCGCCTGGCCCTGCCCCGGGGGCGACGCCTCACATGAGGCTGCACGCATCACTGAGCCCCGGGACATTCTCACAGCAGGGCTGTGTGCGGAGCTGCAAGAGCCATGGGAAGCTTCTGGAAACTGCCTGCGCATCTGCCCTCAGCGTGGGGGAATCCTCTCCAGCTTGTGAACAGCTGGTTCATGATAAATCCCTCGGACGACGTCCTGGCACCATCAGGACTCATTCTGCAGCCTCTTCCGTCCTCACCATCAGCCGGAAGTCTCAAGCCAAGCCTGTCACACTCACAGGCCAACACGGGCCAAATTAAACAAGGTGCAAATGGATGTGGCCACAAAAAAACAAAAGCTTCAGTTTTCTTTGGGTTGCTAAAATATTCGCTACTAGTATTAGTAGAGAGAAATGGTGCGCCTGCGTGTAAGGCACGTAAGGGAAATGAATACAATATGATTATAGTAATCAGTCATTAGTGAACATTGTAGTTCATTATTAATAATTATGTATAACAGGATATTGTAAAAATTAAGTTATGAAATTTTTATTAAAATGTTTCTTGCACACTGTTATATTGGCTGGGCCCCCAAATATTCGTTGTGGGCCGCATTTGACATGCTTGCTCTAAGCAATTCCAGGGGATCCTCTAGAATCGCCATTTGATGGTCACTACTTAGATTTGGATGACCATCTTTTTTTTTTTGATCGATTTCAGAGTAGAGAAACACAGAAACATCAATGATGAGAATCATTTACTGGCTGCCTCTTGGCATATTGTGCATCCTAATACCTTGCTGGTTTCTTGCCTCCGTCCCACTGTGAGCCTGTCACCCCCAGAGGACAAGAGTTCTTGTCTTTCTTGTGTAGAACCAGGTCATCTTCCATCCTGGGGCATCCTGGCTCCTCTCACCTCAAAGAAAGACCACCCTGAAGTGGCCACTACGGCAACCATGATGCACTTGAACTCCACTCCATCACCTGTAGACCTTTCCTCATCTGTCCCTGCTCCCCCTCCCCTTCCCCCCGCCCTGCCGAACTGCATTCACGATGCCACAGCCCTGGCTGGCCTCTGAGGAGAGGGCTGGGGTGGCTGAAGGACATGTGGTTTCTTTTTAGGATGAAATGTCCTAAGGTCGAGGTGCTCGCCGCATGTGGCTGGATTGTCAGCAGGCGCGGCGCTCCTGACATGGCGAGCTGTGCGGCGGATAGATCGGACCCCACTCAGGCTGTTTTTTAAACACAGAAAGGCCCCAGAGCTGCCAGCGACCGTTCCCACTGCCGTGGCCCCCCGGACAGGATGCAGGCTAGGGTGGTGGTGAGACGCTCCGGGGCCTGGCCTGGCCCTGCCTCCCTTAGGCCAGCCGCCCTGACCTGTAGGTACCAGCCTCCCCTTTCTTCTTCCTCTCGGTCCAGGCGGGGGCGGGCG